TCGGTGGGCGCGGCGACAAGCGCAGGAGACCAGCAGGCCTGGAGACCAGGGCGCCCAGGGCAGAAGCGGGCGGCCACACAGGCCAGGAGCAGCGGGATGGGCACCGAGCGGGCGGCCGAGGCTGCGGGGAGGTCGCGGCGCACGCTTGCCAACCGAGAGGGAGGGGGAGGCTGAGCGAACGCAGGAGGGCGGGCGGCAGGTTGCAGCGCTTTCCCCGCGCCGGCTGCTGCTCGGCTCCATCCAACACTCCTCGGGATCCCCTCCCCGACCCTCCAGCACACGGCCCGTCACACCACCCGCAGACACAAGCTGGAGCCACCCGCAGACACAAGCTGGAGCTGGGCCTGGGGAGCCCCCATCCCCGCTCTGGCCCCTGCAGCCAAGACAAGAGCAACTGCCAAGCTGCCCAGCCGGAGGAGGCGGGACCGGGATGCCCACCTTTGGGGCGGGGAGGCTCCGAACAGGCATTAGTGAGCACCAGACACGGGACGCTAAAGGGCTTAGGATTCTTCCAGAACCGGCAGCCCCACACGGCACTCCTGTCCCTCCCAGCCGGCCCCCTTACCCTGAGTGTGAGCTCCAAGGGTGGAAGCCTGGGGCCGGGGGTGGGCTTCACTGGGGGGGCTGGGGGTCTCGGGGGAAGGGCCAGGACCCAGAAGCACTGGTGACAGAGACCAGGTCAGAGCCAGTGAGGCTCCCGCTCTCCTCTGACACCCACGGAGCAGTTCTCTCCCGCCCGCCCCCAGTTGGAACCCAAAGGCCCAGAACTCCAGTCTCTAGTTTCCTTGGGCTGCGGGGAAGGGCTCACCATGCAGGACATTCAGTTATGTGTTCAGAAACGATTAAGCACCCTATCACGTGCCCACCACCGAGCTATCTGCTGGGTATTTGGAAGATGCTAACCCTGTCCTATGACTCTCTCCGGGTGTCCAGGGTGCTGGTCTGCTGCTGCCATGGCACAGACTTGAGTGAGTATGGGATGAGTGAGGGAAGTGAAGTCGGGACAAGACTCACCATAAGCAGAGTTCCCTGTGCCAGACTGACTCCCGGTAGCTCCGTCTATGAAGGGACAGAGGGCTAAGATGGGGGCCGGGGAAAGCTTCATGAACAGGGATTTTCACAGAAGGAACAAGACCCCTGCCTGCACAGTATCTGTGGCCCTCAGAGCCACGTGCAGCTATGGCTGGAGCTGCAGCCTCCCCTTCCGTTTACCTTGGCAGTCACCGTGCTCCCTGGATTCCTGGTTCCCAGCTGGATCCACATCAGTCCTAGGAGGACATGGCGATGACTCAGTGCAGTTGTACATCTTGCCCCCACCCCCCACCCGAGCCCTCAGCTTCCTCTCTCATGGTGGGAACTTTCTCCTTAGGAGACCCGGGAGCCCCTCACTTACCCACCAGGTCCCCTGATATCCACACAGCCCCTGGAGCTATGCCATCCACAGTATGGGTCCTGAGAAGCCAAACAGCTCCTAGGGAAAACTGAGTCATGTGAGGCTGGGACCTTCTCCATTCCAATCACATTCCATTCACCTGCCTCTTCTACGCTCACCCTGGCCTACAGAAGGCTTTTAGCCCAGTATTCCCGTCCTATCCGGCCCAAACCCTATTCCAGAACCTAGTTACTGTGCCCCTGCAGAATGCTTGAGGCATCTCCCCACCAACCACCCCCTGTACTTCCCCCCAATGCCTGCATTCCAGAGTTCCTGCCGGCCCAGGG